CATTTCTGTGGCTCAGATTATTTCCTCTCAGAGTAAAGACATGCATTTAATATTTCTGCATGATGAGAAATATTCACTCATGAGGACAAAGTCATCCCACTGTCTTGCGTAATGGAGGATCAAGCCGTGGCACTGTACGCAATTACGCACAGCAACGGTGAGATATAATCCATATAAAAAAATGACAACAACAACAAAAAGTAATATTTCAGAATTTAAAAAGCACGCAGATTTTAAACAGGTGATAAATGAAGGCGTGTGAATCAATCCCCCTTAAATTGCACCCAAACAGAAACCTTCAGGCGCTGACCTTCAGAGGAGACGGACACAAATGTCGTTTGCTTAAACAAAAAGTCTTCGCTGTAGACTGCAGTCTTCTTCCAAGTGTGAAGAGTCTCCACACAATCTGCTACTTAACAGGGGGTGGGCTGCTCCCAGCTCTGCCGGCCCCGCCACAGTGAGCTCTTACGACATCCAGCCATGATGCTTCATTTATGGCACCGCTATTGTGTCTGTTTGTGTATCTGTTTGTCCACAGAAATTTGCTTTAAGCCAGTGCCAACCTGTTTCCGTGCAGTCTCCAGAGTTCTAACCGCAGCTTTTTGGACATGGATAGCACGGCCGAATGCTGATTGGTTGACAAGTGGGCAGGAACAGAGAAAGGACTGATGGTGGAGGAAAATTTGTCCAAAAAAAATAACAATACAATGAGATATCCCAGATATCATATTTAACGTACACACGCTTGACCTATATTTATATATTTTTCCACCTGCAATTAGCAAGCTGCGCCTGTTCTGTTAGTAAATTACCCAAAACTCATGTCTTAGTTTGTGATTAGGTGCTAAATTTCACTGCTCTTACAGTGGGGCAAAAAAGTATTTAGTCAGCCACCGATTGTGCAAGTTCCCCCACCTAAAATGATGACAGAGGTCAGTAATTTGCACCAGAGGTACACTTCAACTGTGAGAGACAGGATGTGAAAAAAAAAATCCATGAATCCACATGGTAGGATTTGTAAAGAATTTATTCGTAAATTAGGGTGGAAAATAAGTATTTGGTCACCTCAAACAAGGAAAATCTCTGGCTCTCACAGACCTGTAACGTCTTCTGTAAGAAGCTTTTCTGTCCCCCACTCGTTACCTGTATGAATGGCACCTGTTTGAACTCATCATCTGTATAAAAGACACCTGTCCACAGCCTCAAACAGTCAGACTCCAAACTGGACCAAAGGGCCAAGACCAAAGAGCTTTCGAAGGACACCAGGAAAAGTATTGTAGACCTGCACCAGACTGGGAAGAGTGAATCTACAATAGGCAAGCAGCTTGGTGTGAAAAAATCAACTGTGGGAGCAATCATCAGAAAATGGAAGACATACAAGACCACTGATAATCTCCCTCGATCTGGGGCTCCATGCAAGATCTCATCCCGTGGGGTCAAAATGATCATGAGAACGGTGAGCAAAGATCCCAGAACCACACGGGGGGACCTGGTGAATGACCTGCAGAGAGCTGGGACCAAAGTAACAAAGGTCACCATCAGTAACACACTACAACGGCAGGGACTCAAATCCCGCAGTGCCAGACGTGTTCCGCTGCTGAAGCCAGTGCATGTCCAGGCCCGTCTGAAGTTTGCCAGAGAGCACATGGATGATACAGCAGAGGATTGGGAGAATGTCATGTGGTCAGATGAAACCAAAGTAGAACTTTTTGGTATAAACTCAACTCGTCGTGTTTGGAGGAAGAAGAATACTGAGTTGCATCCCAAGAACACCATACCTACTGTGAAGCATGGGGGTGGAAACATCATGCTATGGGGCTGTTTTTCTGTCAAGGTGACAGGACGACTGATCCGTGTTAAGGACAGAATGAATGGGGCCATGTATCGTGAGATTTTGAGCCAAAACCTCCTTCCATCAGTGAGAACTTTGAAGATGAAACGAGGCTGGGTCTTCCAACATGACAATGATCCACAACACACCGCCCGGGCAACAAAGGAGTGGCTCCGTAAGAAGCATTTGAAAGTCCTGGAGTGGCCTAGCCAGTCTCCAGACCTCAACCCCATAGAAAATCTGTGGCGGAGTTGAAAGTCCGTGTTGCTCGGCGACAGCCCCAAAACATCACTGCTCTCGAGAAGATCTGCATGGAGGAATGGGCCAAAATACCAGCTACTGTGTGTGCAAACCTGGTAAAGACCTATAGTAAACGTTTGACCTCTGTTATTGCCAACAAAGGTTATGTTACAAAGTATTGAGTTGTATTTTTGTTATTGACCAAATACTTATTTTCCACCCTGATTTACGAATAAATTCTTTACAAATCCTACCATGTGGATTCATGGATTTTTTTTTTTCACATCCTGTCTCTCACAGTTGAAGTGTACCTCTGGTGCAAATTACTGACCTCTGTCATCATTTTAGGAGTGGGTGAACTTGCACAATCGGTGGCTGACTAAATACTTTTTTGCCCCACTGTATTAGATTATTTTCATCATATTGAAATGAACTGACTGGGTTTATGGTTAAAGAATAGCAATAGGGATTGTCCTCACGCACTGTTTTACCCCATCTAGTAAATCTGGCCTTGAGTGGCCTACACCAGGAGATGCCGGACTAGAGCAGCGCAGATACTGAAGGACCCGTCCCATCCAGGCAACAAACTGTTCCAACTTCTGCAATCTGGTAGAAGGTTCCGCATCTTCCGGGCAAGGACAGAGAGACTCAAGAGGAGCTTCTATCCCCAAGCCATCCGTGCCCTAAACACACACACCCGCCCTCTCACATCATCTATAATTGACTGAGACAGGACTCTTCCAGACACTAAACCAAGGAACAATGTACATTTCAATTCCTTTAATTTTAAATATGTTTATATTGTCTATCCTGTAAAATAGTCAGATATCACCCCCATTCTCTGCGGCCTGCTGGAGCGGGAGGGCTAGTAGGAGGAGTTGGCCGTCCGACTGCGGTCTGGGGTGTGGGGCCTCCTGCTGCTGCGGAGTCGGGTGGTCTGCCTCTCCCCACCGCAGGGAAAGGTAACACCACCTGGGTCTGGTGCAATTCCCCCTCCAGGGCAAGGGTACCTAGACCGGTTTGTAGAGTACGCTTGGGGAGTGTGATTGTGTGTACAGCGTCTCTTTATGTCTGTCTCCACGTTGGTTGAGTGTGGAGTGAGTGCATATGAGAGCATGAGGGTGGGAATGGATGTTTGTGTCTGTGTGTGCCTGTATGTCTGTGTCTATATGTCAGGTTGGGTATCAGACGCCACCTCTCTGGGGACACCTCAGGCCCTCCAAGGTTTGGAGGCCTATCTCCACCCACCACCACTTCCCCTGCCGGTGGCGGACTCCCTCAGGTGTCGGTGTGTTGGTGGTTCTTTGTGTCTGGGGGTGGGCGTCCGGGTACACACCGGCTCACTCCTTGGCGGCCGCTTGTCGGGGCCTGGGGCCTGGGGCTCGCTCGGGCCCCTTTGGAGGTGGGGTGCCCCCGGCCTCTCGGCCTAGGGCTCGGTCACTCAGGCGCAGCTGGGGGCCGGCGGAGCTCACGGGCGCGTCACTGCAACTCCCCTGACTTCTGCTCCGCGGCTGCTGGGCGAGCCCTCATCTGGGACTCTCCTCAGCTCTTACTGGGACAGTGGCGCGGCTGCCCCTCTGTTGGTCTTCCTTGGTCTCTTGTGTTCTGGGGGCCTCTGGATGTCTGGAGTTTTGATCTCCTCCATACCCGCTTCACACCCTGGAGGACGGGGCTGTGGCCCCCCCACACTCCCTAGCAGATCATTACATGGAGAAACCTTTGGAATGCAAGCATGCTGATCCACACAGGTATGCACACATGGGTATTCACAGACGCGGACTAAAGCTTTCTTGGCTGCTGCCTCAAAGCACACTGTGCGCTGTCTATCTTGCGTGCTGCACAATATCGTTTATTACTTAGTAAATACTGATATCTATGACTAGCTAGTTTATTGTGATGGTATGGTGCTTTGTTTTCTCTATTATTATGTTGCTCTTTGTTGTTTGCTGTCTCCTCTGTTTGTTTTTGTTTGTTTGTTTGTTTGTTTGTTTTTCTCCATACAGGTGACCCAGGAGTTTTTTTTTTTTTTTTTTTTTTTTTTTTTGTCTCTCTTCCCCCCCCTTCTCACCGTCTCTTCTCCCTTTGGTTTTCTTTCTTTCTCTCCCCCTCTCTCTCTCATTCATTCCCCCTGTCCTATTTATTAAAAAAAAAAAAAAAAAAAAAAAATGACAAAGGATGAACTGAAGCTCTGCCATCACGTAATGTCGCATACTGCTGTTTCTGATGTCATTTAGGAAAAAAAAAAAAAAAAAAAAAAAAAAAAAAAAAAAAAATAGTCAGATATCTATCCATATTAATGTACAGAATTCACCTGCTTGCTGCTACTACTGCACATTCACCCAGTGTATATACTATATGTGTGTGTATATATATATATATATATATATATATATATATATATATAATGTTCTTCCTCTACACCCCCCCCCCCCCCCCAATTTTTGCACATGTCGAGGAGCGTGTCAGGCTACATTTCACTGTGTGTTATACTTGTATAACTATGCATGTGACAAATAATAAAGAACCTTGAACCTTGAGTGGTAAAATGTGAAACATTTTTGTTGGAGTCCTACATTTCACTCATGTGGTGGCTGTAGCTCAGGAGGTAGAGTGGGATTAGAGGTTGGCAGTTTGATCCCTGGCTGCTCCAGTCTGCATGCCAAATATACCTGGGCGACATACTAACCCCAAGTTGCTCTCTGATGCATCCATTGGAGTATGACTGTGTGTGAATATTAGATAGAAAGCACTTGAAAGCACAGAAGAAGGTGTTTGTATGAATGGGCGAATGAGGCTCTGAGTGCCCCAGGAGAGTAGCACAGCGCTATGTCCATTTACCATTTATTTACCTTTATCCACCAACAGTCAGCCATTCTACACACAAAGAGCCACAAACTGGTTTGTTGATCATGAGAGCCATGTTGTTTTTATTGATCCTCAGGTCAACAGAGAGAGAGTACAAGAGTTGTAATGTGGTCACATTTATAAATGTGTTTTGAAATGCCACAACATGAAACACGTAGTCCAACACAGATGGAGTATTTTTAAGTGGCTGACTGGTTTGGGGGAACTGGGACCATACGGCTGAAGCAGAGGAGTTAAACTTCCTTCTGAATGACGCCTCCACCAGCTCAAATGGCACCTATCCATCTCCTGAAAGGAAGAGTTCAAAGATGAAGATTAAAATGTACTTTTTTGTGCGCGTTAATCTGAACACCAAACATAGTTTCCATGTACTAAATAAAATGATGCATTATTTTTTGTTCTTTAATTTTGTATTAAGTTTTCTGTATAACCAACATTACAGACTGTAACATGTCCATACACCCAGCAGCAGAGAAGCAGAAGAGGAAACACTCACGGGTGGTCTCGGTGCCCCTGAGAGGCTCGCTGCTCTGCTTGCCAACCACAGCGTAAACACTGATGACGTACTCAGTCAGAGGGTTTAGATTTTCTAGCACTACCGTGCTCACCGATCCATTGACTTGCAGCTGAAACAATAAAGGATTGGTTCTTATTCTGTGACCAGTGAACGAGTTAATGAAGTATTCTTCGAGTTAATGAAGAATACTTCAAACCAACAGCTGGACTCACCTTTGGGATGTCGAGAGGACTACAGCTCTCACCTTTTAATCATTAGATGATTATAGTTTGCTGAGCCTAAATCTATTGTGCTGCGTTCATGAGCTGGTGACAGTGTGCTTATTTGTGGACAGAGAAGTGCACATGCTATGGACGAGCAGTCTGCCCTCTTAAACATTCAGGTTGTTTTACACATGTTTGGTTGGAGTCTTGCAACATGTTAATGCTCTGATGATGAAATTTACGTCACTTGGATAACGGATTATGTCACTGTTAAACATTGCCTTAGGCTGATTGATCCTTTCTAGCTACTGGACTTGGCTACAGAAGGATGAGCCAGTAGCAGTGTGAGTCTCTTCCACACTTCCTCTTTCTGTACAGCACTTAAGGTGTGAAGCTGGCACACTATTTCTTTTCATCCTCCCTCTACCGTGTAAGGTCCACAGTTACTGCTAAGTCCATCCCAGCCTCTTTTATTGTTTTTTGTTCATTAATATTGATTTGATGACATCATTAGGCCAACAAACAGTGCCACCATCTATTTTTAATTGTCCTTGTCCAGCGATTGTTAATGAATTATTAAGAAATATTCCTGACACAGAGATCAAGTCAGTCAGTACCAAACAGAAACATCACACTTTGTACTTTTTTCACCCCAGACAGGAGGGCTGCCACAAAGAGTTGGAAGTTTGAAGTCATTTGTTTCACTGCTTAATTCTGTAGCACCATGACAGGTGTTGAGACATTTAAACATTATTTTTAGTAGAACTCGATTAACGGGTTAAGTTTAACGATTCTCCTGGTGCAGCGTTAGAACAATCTACCAAAATAACTGATTTTGCACACGGGTTAGCGCATGGGTTAATGCTGTATATCCTCTGGGGTACATTTTCATATTTTGATTGTTAAAGATAAATTAAATAACAGCTTTGTCATCAATATGAATTAAATTTATTGTGACAGTTGAAATCAGAAACTTTCATACTCTTGTTTCAAACTAACATGAGGGGGAGAGTTTAATCTCACCTTCTCAATGCGTTCCCCAGCTGTCATCATGTAAGTGACATCGTATTTCTCCACGGTGCCATTGGGTGGAGTCCAGGTGGCACGAAAGGAGCTCTGTGTCACCTCTGAGGTCACCAGATTGGTGGGTGCCTCTAGAGTATGACATAAAAAGGAACGAAAGGACAGCATGTTCAGTATTTTCCTTTTTAAACCCACTACCACTCTGCCGCCATAAACCTGCCCTCGCTATTCTCACTCTTCTGACAGCGAGACTCCTGACCATCTGCTTCACTTAAAAACTGGGTTTTGGTTACACTTCCATGTGACCTTCACCACCAGTGATGACTAAAATGTCTAAAAATGACAGAGCAGTATTTAAATATTGATTTGTATAAAAAGCTTTGATCAGCTATTTACTTGTGAAAATTGCAGTTTTAAACTTTAAAATCTTACATTTAAATCACACTGCTGTAAACTTTCTGCTTCATTTGTTTTAAATCCTGGAACAACTGTTTGGATAAGTCACCCATTTGGATTTTGTTAAGGCTTAAAGTTAAGGATGTGGCCATTATGGCTAACGGGATGGTGCAGACACAGCGGTCGTAGTTACTAGCTGTCTCCACTTGGCTTCACCTATGCTAATTCAAATCACTAAAGTAGACCTCTAGAACAGCTTGCGCTGTTTGGTGCTTCTTGGAGCATTTTAATGAAATTATCTGCCGTGCAGCTAATTACAATAACAGACTGTCCCAGAAGTCTGTACTTCAGTTTTGGTGAGTTTGTTGTTCATAGCAAAACTTAGTTTATGTTTAGGTCCATGGATGCACCTCTATAAACGTAAATAAATAAGATGACCTGCTTATTCACATGTTTTATCTGTTAGTTAGCGCTCATTAGCAGGTATCTCTGCCTATGTTGTGAGCATGTACAGTTTATGGTTGCATCTTATTTGCATTAGCTGATAACTTCTCTCTCTTATCCAAATGTGGTCACTTCTAACTCCCATGACAAGCATAGAGGTAAAGTTGAAGGGTCCACAAACCAATGACTGACATCTCTGAGACAGCAATATTAATAAATCACTATTTGATTTAAGAAAATGTAAAATGTCTCAGAAGTCTTGTCCAGATCAGATGCAGACTAGATTCTCTGAGCAGCCTTTTGAAATACTGGCCCATCTTTAAGATTGTTCTGACAATGCTGAAATGGCTCCTTCCCTACCTGAGCCCTTAACACTGTTACACAGGTTGACAGAGAGTTCGTCAGTGATGTCCACCAGGAACTGGAAGTCGTAGACGTTGTACATGTGAATGTCATCTGGGTCAGAGGCGATGGACCTCAGCTCATACTCATCAGCGTTTTTTACACCTGTGAGAAAAATAAACCATGAGTTTGATGAAGGAAGATGACTAAAGTGGCTGCTGGTTGATCATTTTCAGCCCATTCTAGTAAAGTCAGGTACTTTTCCTGATTGCTGCATGCAGGTAGCAATCATCCAAAAGTTGAAATGTGTTTTCATTTCCTTTTCTTCAAACCAGTGAAGCTCACTCACCGATAGCATAGAGCTCGATGCCGCTGTCTCTCAGGTTCTGTGAAATTACGATGACTTCATCCTGTGACTTTCCATCAGTGATCAGGATGCTGATTTTGTGGGAGTCTGGACGCAACCCCACGTTGGGTTTGAAGTTGTACTGGAGAATATGGTTCAGAGCCATTCCTAAACCACAGTGAGGAAGAAGTTTCATTTATGTGTGCAGATAACAAAGCACTGCTTCTCTGTTTTTTAACCCTTCTGAAACAAACCTGACCCATCAGAAAGCTTACAGCTAGATCAGGTGATGCTGAATGTGTCCATTATCAGGGATAGGAATCGAGAACTGCTTCTTGTAATTGAATTCCCCAGAATTGTTAGTCCGCTTCCCTATTGATCCCACTTAGCGGTTTCTCTTACACATGCTCCACAATCAGCTGATTTCAGTTCACGTGCCAGAGGACGAAAACAGTGGCACAGTCTAAGAGTGTTGATATGGACATTACTCTTATTTTTATTGAACAATGGGACAAGAGTTTGATGGCAAAGTGGAGACTGCTTCTAGGAAAGAAACAGCTGGATCAAGCTGCTAACACAACTTTGGCTTGTTGCAAGTATCTGCACGGACAGCATGTTAATGCTAAGCCAGCCAGACAACATGCTAACACTAAGCTAGCCAAGAACCCAGAGTGAAAGCTGCGTGAATGCTGACCCCAACTTAGCAGGGAGATGCTGAACTTCAACAGGTAACAAACTGATGAGCTGTCAGGCTGCAGCCTTTTTACTTGTGCATTATGATCGCTTTAAAGTTAAACCCTTTATTAATCTCCATCCATCCATCTTCTTCTACTTATCTGGGGCCAGGGCACACAGGAAGCAGCCTAACCAGAGAAGCCCAGACCTCTCTCTCCCTGGCCACATCCTCCAGCTTGCCCGGGGGAACACCATGACATTCCCAGGCCAGCCAAGAGATTTTATCTCTCCAGCATGTCCTGATTCTGCCCTGGGCAGTAAAGGGGCAGCCTCCCGGTGGAACATGCCCAGAACACCTCACCCAGGAGGCATCTTTGTCAGAGGCCCCAACCACCTCAACTGACTCCTTTTGATGTATAGGAGCAGTAGCTCCTATTCATACAGCAAGGGAGCAAGGGACAAGCCAGCCACCCTTCGGAGAAAGCTAATTTCCGCTCCTTGCATCCACGACCTTGATCTTTTGGTCACTACCCAAACTCGTGAGGTGAGGGTAGAGATGTAGATCGACCGGTAAATCACTCAACTTCTTTCTTCCCCACAATGGACCGGAGCAGCATCCGCATCACTGCAGCCACAGCACCAATCCGTCTATTGATTGTCCACTCCATTTTCCCGTCACTCATGAACAAGACCCCGAGATACTTAAAATACTCCACTTTGTTCAGGAGCTCGCCCTGACCCGGAGTTTGCACTCTACCCTGTTCCGGCTGAAGACCATGGCCTCAGATTGGGAGATGCTGATTCCCACCACTTCACACTCAGCTGCGAACTGTTCCAGTGCGAGCTAAAGGCCATCACCAAGTGAAAGTCTTCTGCCACTTGGCTACGTCTAAAATTCTGTCCATAAAGATTACGAACATGTCCGGTGACCAAGGGAAGCCTGGAGCTCTTGCAATGGTTGTATAAGGACTGAATGGCCCGTAGCAATGAGCCAGACACCCCATAGTCCCAAAGCACCTCCCACACGACACTCCAAGTGTCATGGTTGAATGCCTTCTCCAAGTCCACAAAACACGTGTAGAATGGTTGGGCAAACTCCCATGCACCCTCAAGTATCCTCGAGAAGGTAAAGAGCTGGTCCAGTGTTCCATGTCCAGGACAAAAACTGCATTGTTACTCCTGTATCCGAGGTTCGACTAAGGGATGGACTGTCCTTTCCAGCACCCTGGCACAGACTTTTCCAGGGAGGGTGAGGAGTGTGATCCCCCTATAGTTGGAACACACCCTCCGGTCCCCCTTCTTAAAGATGGGAACTACTGCCCTGATCTGCCATGCATCATTGTAGAGACATGTCAACCAAGACAGTGCTACAACATTCAGAGCCTTCAGGAACACCAACAATGACGACACCGCCTACAGAGATGAGGTCCAGCATCTGACAGAATGGTGCAACTACAATAACCTTACCCTAAACACCAGGAAAACCAAGTAAGTGGTCATGGACTTCCTAAGACAAAAACTGATCCCCCTCCCCTATCCATAAAGGGTGACTATGTGGAAAGGCTGCCCTTCTTTAAGTTCCTCTGTACCCACATCTCCAAGGACCTATCTTGGACCACAAACACATCAGCCCTAGTGAAGAAAGCCCAGCAGTGCCTCCATTTCTTGAGGGTTCTGAGATGGAAGAGGCTGCAGACTGACCTACTAGTGTCCTCCTATCGAGCCACAATCAAAAGTGTGTTGATGCATGCCATCTCCATGTGGTATGCTGGTTGCACAACAGCCAATAAGAAGAGACTCCAGAGAGTCATCAGAACTGCAGAGAATGTGATCGGCTGTCCACTCTCCCCCCTGGACTCCATTGCCAGCTTGAGATGTCTCTCCAAAGCCAATGTGATTATAAAACCACCACCTCATCAACATCCTGCCCTCTGGAAAAAGGTTCAGATCCATCAGGTGCAAAAACAATAGACTAAAAAAAGAGCGTCTTCCTGTCAGCTATCACAACTCTCAATGCAAATTAAGAGTGTGAACAAACTTCTCCCACACAATCACTCTGTCGCTGCTATTGACTATGTTGCTACCATTCCATATGCAGTATTTTGGTCTTCCCTTTTTCTGTGCAATATTTTGGCCCCTGTGCAATATGTGCAATATTTTGGCCCCTGTGCAATATGTGCAATATTTTGGTCTGGCAGATGTGCAATTACTATCCCCATGCTAAATGACCATAGCCCTTCAATCCTTACTTATATATTATATTGTATTACTGCCTTTCTACGCACCAATATAATGTTTCTGTGACTCATACACTGTGTATATAGTTTACTTATTTATATATATTAGTGCTGTAAAAATTAACGCATTAAAGCAAATTAATCCGCCATCACGGTCAACACGATTAAAATTTCTAACGCATATTAACGCATCTGGAGTGCAGAATAACTCAAAATCCCTGAAATGTTTCTGTCAATGCATTTCGGGCAGTTTGTCCAAGCACCTTCACACACGCGCAAATGGGCTGTTGATCTGGTAGTGACTGCTGAACCAATCAACTCAATATGGAAGATGATAAACGCACATTGGCCCTCTCAATGGGAAATTTGAGTATGAAAAAAAATAAGAAGGAAAAGTTGACCGACATAAAGTATCATGCACATTGTGCATTTTCTTTCACCAAAGCGCTTCCATCATAAAATATTACATTGACGCAAAGCATACGTTAGTCGGGGATGCAGCTAGGACTTTGGCTAACGCGTCATCCAGCCTGCGACAAACCACTCACAGAGCATCGGGGACACAGTAAGTCTACCTCAAAAATATTAACTGACACAATTGCCAAGTAGATTGCAGACCTATTAATATACGTCCTATATTAATGCGAGAACATGCGCTTTACATAGCTTTGGTTCCTCGTTTCAAGGACTTGAAGTGCAAGAGTAACAGAGAGAGAGTGGATAAATGTTTACAGAGTTTTTTGTTGACGTGAATGTTCAAGATGTTTGATAAACATGTTAAGTGCATATATTTTCCCTTTTTTCTCCAGTCTGTTTCCTCATGCAAAAAGAAATGTGATTAATATAGAATAAAAATGAATTATATTAAAACCCCTCCATCACAACAAGGTAGCAATTCATAGAGGGACCTTTATTAATCTATGTGGGTGTATTTGAGTTGTAGGTATGGATTCCCATGGAAGATCATCATCTTGCAATATATCAGATTTTCCTTCTAGCTGTTCAATGCTCAGCTTCATCTCAGCTTCTGCTCCCAGTGTATTGTCGCTTTTAACTTGTACTACTTCTGTGTCTCTCCTTGGTTCACTTCTTCCTCATCATCCTGCTTATATCTTCACGCAACCCATTCACCTTCAACCGATAAAACTGAGTAATAACATAAAAGTCTTGTTGAATTATTACCTTGTATGCTTAGTGTGTCTCGCCTCTCTTTCAATCTCCATGAATTTTCTGCCCTGCTGCATCTCATTAACTTTGTGTCTACTCTCTCCGGTAGTTTGTCCATTGTCTTTCTCATACCTGTCTGAAGTTTCTTCCTTTTAAAAGTGAGCTTATCGTTCTCCACTGTGGCTGAGTCTCACACCAAGGGTTTGGCCCTATGTAAAGTGCTTTGAAAGCACAGTATATACAAATGAATTAAATTTGTCTCCCACACTGGCACCCATGTCAGTGATAGCAAGGCCAAAGTAATAAAAAAAAAAAACCTGTCATGGTGTTTCCTCCTTTATATGGCAAGTTGGCAACAGCATTCAGCAGGGATTCTTTGGTGTGGTGGGTGTTCAGGTGCCATTCAGTCTTTGGGTCACCGCTGTACTGAGCCAGACCTGCAGAAAATACAACACTAGATAAAGCAATTCTGATTTGGTGTTAAATAGCTTATTTCAGACAGAGCTTAGGGTTAGATTAGGGTAGATTTAATTGTGACTCATGCAAAGCTACTCTAGTAAATTTAAAAAATAAAAATGGGCAGATATGAGCAGAATATCTTGAGATTACAAGAGGTTCAGGTTAGGCAAATACTGAGAGACAGCTGTCTGGAGGAAAACATCCCTCCATGTGAGTCTTGTTGTTATAGTAACAACAGTGAAAGCTTTACCGATCTGGACTCTGTCAGGGCCAATGTCAAA